CTCTCTCTCTCTCTCTCTCTCTCTCTCTCTCTCTCTCCCCCTCTCTCTCTCTCTCATCTCCGCTTTGACACTGTTTTCTACTTAAGCTGGGTCAGGAGAAGGGGGCTCAGCATTAGCTATTAGAGAAAGAAGGCAGGCTCCTGGCCCTCCTTCCCTGACGGCCTTCTAGTCACATTGCATCTTCCCAGTTTGATTTGAGACTCCAGGTAAAGTGGCGGGTACTAGTTAGGGGTGGGGGAAGATGGAGTCCTGACTACCTCCCCATCCCACAATGCCTCTCCTGAACTCAGACTCGATCACAATAATTCAGTCACTCTCTTCCCCGCTCCACACACCACCTCCACCAGGAATGTTATCCCTCTGAGCCTGGGTGCAAGCTGGAGGCTTAAAAAGCCGGGTGGTGGTGGTGCGGGGGGAGGTAGATGCGGGAAGGTGGGCGCGAGGTAGGTGAGAGCGCTGGGTCTGGGACTTCAGGACAGACACTTCAAGATAATGGGAGGCTGGTACCCCGGAGCAGGATTAGGAAAAGAGAGCCCTCCGGATTCCGATCTCGCGATCTCGCGTACTCCCAGGACTCCCACCCAGACGCGTCCCCCAGTGAGCTACCCATCTTGACCGACAGCGCACTCCTCACCCATAGGAGCTCCTGACCCACAGGGTGGATCCACTCCAAGCCGTGCCTCCCAGTGAGCTACCCATCCTGACCCCACAGCGAGCTCGACCTCCAGCCGCAGGCTAGCCATAGGTGAGCGAGTCCACCGTGTGGCCATGGCCTGAGAGCTGGGCTGTGGTCACTCCTCGCACACCCCGTCGGGGCGGACTGACGCTCAGTCCCCACCCGCAGACAGGAGCGCGTCGTCGGGAGGGACGCAGGTCCCACGGACGCCACCGCGTGCCTTTACCTCGGTTGGAGTGGCTCAGGGTGGACGACTGCGAAGACTTGGACTTCTGCCTTTTGACGGTCATCATCACCTGCTCCTGCACACGCTGCCTGCCCGACGTGCCGGTCTTCATCTTTTGGTCGGAGGGCAAAGCCAGCGTGGAGTTGTCCTGGTCCTGGAAGCATTCGTACGCCAGCGCGGTCTTGAGTGGGGAGTGGTTCATGGTGGCAGTGGGGTGGGGTTGGGGGGCACGGGCCGGGGGAGCCGAGAGGCGCAGGGTGCGGTGCAGCGGGGTGCGGGCGCGTGTTCTCCTCTCAGCGGCTCCCTATGGCCATAGAGCGCTGGTCCGCCTGAGGCTCCCGGCTGCTGCTCCTGGCGCCTCCGCCCCGGCTCGTCCCTCGGCAGGCACTGGCGGGGCCCGCCCTCCGTCAGACAGGATATACCACCCCTGCCCTGCGCCACCCACTCCGCCGGCCCGCCACTCAGACGCAAGCTGCAGGGCACTACCTCTGCGGGGAGGGCGCTGGGGTGTGTGTTGGAGGGGGGTGCGGGGAGGGGGAGTGCCCGGTGTGCAAAGCTCTCAGCCTCGTCCTTCCTCTCCCCCTCCCTTGAGGTCCAGGGGAGACGCCCCTCGGCTCTGCTCCTACTGGCTCCTGGAGAAAGTGTGTGCTCAGCTCAGGACCGAGGGGGACCTCTGTCGAGGAAAAGGGAACTTTGGCTCAGCTCCCCTTCTTGCCCCCTAGAGCGACGCGCTCCTCCAGCACTGGGGTCAAGGCAGAGACCAGCCCTGTCCCATGGGGGCGCCCAGGCTGATGGTAGAAACACAGCCCCTGGCCCGCTCAGTCTTACAGGAACAAACCCCTTCCACACTGAGGAAGCCTTCAGCTTGAAGGGAGTGAAATCCGGGCAGGAGCAAAGCGAGACTTAGAAATCAAAACACCCCCCGCAAAACATCACCGCTGTCCCTTGTGGGTCTACCCACCAGAGAAACCGTGTCAACAGCGGATCTCCTCTGGAATGCCTTAGACTACCCCTACAACAATGCCTGGCATCCAATAGGCACTCAAGCAAAGTTAAGATAAACTCTAACTTGAAACCTGCTCAGACCCTTACTGAAAAACTGGAAGCTGCCTCATCTCTAAAACTCCCAACTACCCAAGGACTGTGTGTATTCTCCTCTGTGTACGAACAACCTTGGAACGTTCATGGGGATGTTTCGAGCATGTGGCGGCATCCTATGGAGGGAGCCCACAGCAGGGAGTTTGGTGCGCACCAGCAGCTGAGTACCCGTAAAAGCTCTTTGATGACAATCTTCCTAAAAGGCTTCACACCCAGCCTTCCCCACGGAAGCAAGCGATACTGGAAGTATTTTACGCACTTCTTGATGACTCAGGTTTCTGGTTCTGGACATCCACCGCTGAAGAATGTAGCAGTGCAATTTGGTCAGCTTAGGTTTAGGGGTCTCCGTAGCTGTGACTGCTTTGGGGCTCGCTTTCGGGTATAGCTGTGGCTCCTAGCCCACGAAAGTCCCTTTCACTCCTTTAATCTGCAGAGGAAGGGGCAATCACAAAGTAAGACTGCTTGCTACTTATGCATCAAGGAATGGCCAAGGAGGCTGACTGTGACCTTGCAGGTCATCACCTCTCTTCCAGAGAAGTGGGTGTTACATACAGACAGCTCAGCTGTTCCCCAGAGGGCACTCATGGGAGCCACCTGCACAGCAGATTATTATGAAGCAGATTATGGCTTCCTCTGGAAACAGTTTTCTATTTGAGAGTTGTGGGGTTTTTTGTTTTTGTTTTTGGTTGGTTGGTTGGTTTTTCAAGACAGGGTTTCTCTGTGTAGCTCTGGTGCCTGTCCTGGATCTCTCTCTGTAGACCAGGCTGGCCTTGAACTCACAGAGATCCGCCTGCCTCTGCCTCCCGAGTGCTAGGATTAAAGGTGTGCACCACCACCGCCCAGCGAGGGTTGTGTTTAAAAAAAGAAAGAAAGAAAGAAAAGAAGGAAGGAAGGAAGGAAGGAAGGAAGGAAGGAAGGAAGGAAGGAAGGAAGGAAGAAACCTTAAGAGACGTGCCCCAAAACATACCATCATTAGATATTAAAGTTAAACATCTCAATCCTTCGCCATCACTCCCTTGGTTAATTTTCCATCCAGCACAGACTGCCATGTACATCACCCCGACCAGCTACATACTGTAATGATAGGAAGAGAGGCAGCCTGCTCCTAGTGCCCCAGTGAGTAAGCGACAAAACCTCTCTTCTACCCAGGCCTGGTGGCTTCTGGCCCATTGCTTGTTCCTTCACACTACCAGCCTCTTTTAGAAAAGCCCTATAAAATGGGCATTTAATGCTGCACACATTGGTCACCTAAGGGCCCAAGTATACAACAAAGTACACAGGGACAGCTTATAAAAATGCAGCTTTATTATATCATCCATTCAACTATCGGAGACCAAATGTGTTAGCCATACTAAACCTTGAGACTTTAAATAGTGATAATTTTGCTATCTTCTATAATGCACAGGACCTTGAAGTGGGTGATTGGAATATTCTTATGAAAATCAAGTTCATGGACATCCAAACTGATGATCTTTAAAACTTTTTCCAGGTGTAAAGTTCAATTTGTCTTGCTGCCGAGGTATGATTTGGATCCTGACGTCACTTTTACTGCACCGATAGCGATGGGCAGCATTTAATATGCTGCTACAGGTACTGCCTACAGATCAAGCCCTTCCCATCCTGAGAATGGTCCTGTGAACCTGGTGCTGGCACCATCACTTCGCTTTTTTGGATGAGGAAACTGAGGCACTGTACGGTTATCTGGTTAGTAATTGGCAGAGGTGAGGCCAAGCACAAACAGCTGGATCCAGAGTGTGGCAACGCTCGGCTTTCCTTGCCATCTCTTTATCAAGCCCCTCTCAGGCACTGCTGTGGGTCACAGCAGGTCTACATTGGTCTACATTGTGTGTATTCTTTATCTGGTCCCCCATCCCCCAAACCATCCTGAGAGCTGTTATTCTTCACGTGAGAAAACACACTTTGAAGCTAAGCCAATGGCAGAGCCAGGAACCTGTGAGCTATGAGAAGGGGAGAAAGAACAGCGAAGTCACCCCTGCAGGACCAGATGAAGGGGAATAATCCTGTGTTTCCACTGTCTCTCTCCCTCCTGTCCCACCCCATGGAGGATCCTGTTTCAGAAATTAGTCGGAAGAGAAGGGAGTCCTTCTCAGGTGCAGAATGTGGCCGAGGTGCTGCTGCCCAAGTGGAGCTCTATGGCCGTGCTTTCAGGAGACTGTTGAACATGCAATTAGACAGGGGGAGAATTTTGATGGGTTGGTTTGAGTTTGGAAGCTAAAGGAATGGTCTGGGGAAAGCTTCCTAGAAGAAATTTATTTTGACCTAATTATGAAACAATACAAGCAGCATTGCATCCTCAAAGACACTGAAAGGAATGAGTAAGAATGGACCTCTAATTTTGTCTGCCTCTTGCCTACAGCGTTTAATTGACCCAGATCTCACTCAGCACTCAAGACTCCCTCCCAGTCTTCATGAGAGGAGAGAATATCTTGTGGTCTTGGTGGAAGGTGGATTTGTTTATTCAACCATTGTTTACTGAGCAACTATTTACTGCATGGTGGGGAAGCCCCGCCAATGGAGGAAGGCCCAGAGAAGGCTCAGAGGTCTCTTGGGCTCTTGTTCCTTCCAATAGGGCTGCAGATTCTTCTTGCTGAGATTCAGCCCTACTAGATGAGTGGACCATCTGCACCTGTACCCCAAGCTGATATAGAGTCCCCAGGGTTTTGAAAGATGGGATACTTCTGGGCTCCTGTGTTTGTCAGGATGGTCCCTCCTTATTTAGCCCACCTCTCTGCATGTGTCCCATGTCCAGGACAGTGGACATGGGGCTGGCCCTGTTGTCAAGCCTTTTCAGCCATATAGCAGACTTCTCAGGGCTGCCCGACTCAGGACTCAGCCTCCCTGAGACGTCCACATCCCCTCCTCCCAATCTACATGTGTCCCCTTCCTTACCCTCCATTTCTCTTCTAGCCCTCCGTGGCTTCCCCACCCCTGTGCTGATGCCTGCTCCCATGCCTTCACATGTTCCCTCTGCATGGAGCATCCTCAGTCAGCCACTTAAGTGGATTGAGTCCGAAGTGAGCTCGAGGCCACACCAGTCCCTGGAACTTACACAATAAGAAACACCCAGCCTGTGTCCCACAGGGCTTACCTCCTAAAGGATGCACAAGGACAAACTATTAAATGAGCTAGCAAAATGACTGCAAATTATATTAGGTACCACGTGGGAAACATGAGCAGTGAGAGAGAATACCAAGAGGCGACTGGAGCCACCAGGACAGAGAATGCCAGCAGACTGAGACCTGGAGCACTGAGGCGGCGGTCTGCCGAGCGGAGTCTGGCATACCCTTGGAACCCGTAGGTCAGTGACAAGGAGGCGGTAGGCATTGGTGGGTAGACAGGCAGCACCATTCTGACCAGCTTCCTGCAGTGAGGGAAATGTCTGTGATGACTGCTTCAGTCGGTTAAAACCACATGCAGTTTAAAACCCTGCCACACATCAAGCACCCTATAGCCACACATTGCCGGTGGCCACTACACTGGACAGTGCAGGACTCACTCTGTGACTTCTGTCTAGTTGAACTTTCTAAGAGTAATGAGAAGCCATTCGCGGGTGTTAATAAAGGCGGTGACAAACTGTCCGCTTCCTTCCTGGTTGCCACGTTCATCCCTGTTATCCCTGAAATGCAATCCCCAAGCCAGATTCGGTCTCCCTCCTAGAGCCCATTGTGGCCCCCTGTCCGTACCCCTTGCCGCCTTCATGAGACCCGGGAGCCTCTGTGAGCTTGAGCAGCTTGAGGGGAAGACGCTGTCGTTCATTGCAGCTTCCTGTGTCCATGTGCTTCCTAAACATTTGTTTGACTTTTCATCTTGTGCCCAAACAAGCCTGGATACAGACCCTTCCCGGACTCTTGAGTCAGCTGGGCTCAGGCCACCGCAAGCCTTGTCTCTAAAGCCCGTTTTCCCCTAAGAGCTCCACCTGCTAGCAGGGATCTCAGCAATGCACGCTCACCTCCCAGCCCATACCTCTGGGTGTCCATGAGAACACAAGGAGCCTGTCTCTCTCAGTTCCCCGGGGTAAATTTACTCCAGGAACCCAGAATTTATTTAACGCCGTGTTGACCAGGATAGTGCACAATAACTCCCATTTTGGAATTCATTTCACCAGGATTCCCAAAACCTATGCCTCACAGAGACCCTATGGTGATTCCTTGCAGAAATCCCGAACCTTGGCTTCTCTCAGGGTACCAGACCAGAAACGGACCAGACTCCACTTTGACTCATGATGAGACCATATGCCACC